AAAACTCACAGGTCAGGTACACTGGGGACCCCTGACCTAGTGTATGTAGTCACCACATTGCAGTGTATGTATGAAGTGTATGCATGTGTATGAAAATATGAGACAAATCGAAATTCAAAATAAGGTTTTTCATGATCCACCTGGAAATATGTGGTGCATTCAGTGTTGGTGAGTTGAAGTACATCAAGACATGGGCATCTCTGTCTGTCCTACTCGCGCTTAAATACCCTCACTGCAGCTTACCATTGCTAATACACAGTCCTGCTTTTGAACCTCATTTTTTACTCATTTTAATTGAATTTTTTTATCGACCATACGTTTAGCCTAATTCATTTGAATACTGGCATGTTGACAAGGCACTTGAATCCTGCCTAATGGTAATATACTTTGCATATACTGTACTTATATATTTCTATATACTATTGTGTTATATAATTCTTATATAATCATATGAATCATGGAAGTGAGTTTTTGACTGTAACATCTGTTTCTTAATGTATGATACATGTTAGAAAAAGATTGGTTTTGTTTGGCGAGTAGTAGTAACGAGTTACATTTACTCCATAACATTTACTTGAGTAACTTTCTGAAAAAAAATGTACTTCTAAAAGTAGTTTTACTACTACATACTTTTACTTGAGTAGATTTGTGAAGAAGAAATGCTACTCGCTACATTAATACAGCCCTCCGTAAGTGGCAGAATAACCTAAGGTAATTGCATTTCTCCATATGTGGTGTTTCTCCAACCAAAGAGCTTAAATTGCTTAAGTGCAGTTAAACCCCTACACTTCGATGGGAGAATGCACTTCAAGTCAAAGAAGTGGGCAGCTTTTATTTGGTTACAGTTAATGTTGGTCAGCTGAAAGTTCACCCCCAGCCAAATCATTAAAATCAGTACTTTTGGAACATTTTCGCTATGTGAATATTACCAAGTTGAAGTGACTCAAATCCGATTTTTTCGCTTAATGTGAAACAGATCAGATTGTTTTCAGGGTTGTGTGGACACACAAATCCAATCCCTTCAAATCAGATTTGAGTCACTTTCACATGTGGTCCTAGATTGGATACATATCTGATTTATGGCCATGTGACATGAATGTGAACGGTCAGATCATAATTCATGTGGATTTTTGCCTATACACATGTGGTGAGCGCGTTCGTCATCAGCCAACATGTTTTTTATACTTGGTAACACAGATCACTCACGCAAAAAGTATCAATGTGCGCAAGTGTGGCGTTTCAGAGGGCTGATGCGTTCACATTTTGGTTAGGTACAGGTCACATGATTATGAATGTGAATCATCAAGATTGGCAAATCCAATCTGAGCAAAACAATCTTAATTGAATGACGAGGCTTGTAATGTGAACGTAACCTTTGGTTTCCCAATAAGTTACTCTAATTACACTGGATAGAGTAGCAGTTTTGACCCAGAATCTCTCTCAGCCCCGTTATACTCAATTCAGATATGTTGCTGGAAACACATCTCATACACTAACTCATTTGAAGCAACATCACCCAAGTGTGTACGCCTGCAACAAGGCAGAAACTGCCTCTGCAAGTTCAGCCTGGAAAACACCAGGCCAATTTTCAGCCGTTGAATGCTGTCTGTCACACTTATGCATGTGGCACGGTCATATATTACTGGTCCCCACTGGTGCTAGTTTTCTGCTGTTTTCTTATTGGTGTGTACCCAGTTTTGGTCCCCCCATGGCCTGAAAGGCACTTTGTTGAGGACATTCAGACCGGGCTAAAATATTTATTACGACGATTGTGGTGTTTGTCACTACAGATTGAGAAAGTGGGATTTTTTTTTTGTTATGACTGTTTTCCATCTATTTTCTGTACCTGCATGTCCTATACTGGGTGTTGGGGTCTGGAACATATCCCAGAGGCTACAGGCGAAAGGCGTAGAATTACCAAGGATGGGGCACTAACCCATTACAGGGCACACAGGCAGTTTAGGAAACTCCATTTAACCTCGGTATGTTTTTAGACTGTGGAGGGGAAACCAGAAAACCCAGAGGAAACCCCATGAGGCGACAATGCTCACCACTGCGCCACGGTGCGGCGCCCATCATGAGGTTATATTTTTGAATTTTTAAAATTATTTCACATATTTGTTTTTTGTACCAAACCGGGAATGTGGTGTACTGATTCACCCCTACTGGGGACAGCTGTAAACCAAAGGTAATAATTTTTATGTTTATTGGGAAACCACAATGTTCACAAACTGCTGATTATGACTGACTGTAACCAGCTTTAGCTGTAACCAACTTACAGTCATGATTATCATAATGTTTTTATGTTGAACATCAACTTAAGAATTTAGGTCCTGCCTGCATCAAGCATTGTATTTATTCACTTCATAGAGTTCTCTGGGGTGATGAATCACACTTCTCTGTCTGGCAATCCGACGAGTAAATGGACGAGTCTGGGTTTGGCGTTTGCCAGGAGAACAGTACTTGCCTGACTGCATTGTGCCAAGTGTAAAGTTTGGTGGAGGGGGGACTATGGTGTGGGGTTTTTTGTCAGGGGTTTTTCTTGGCCACTTAGTTCCAGTGAAAGGAACTCTTAATGCTGCAGCATTCAAAGCCATTTTGGACATTTTCATGCTTCCAACTTTGTGGGAGCAGTTTGGGGATGGCCCCTTCCTGTTCCAACATGACTGCATATCAATGCACAAAGCAAGGTCCATAAGGACATGGTTGAGCAAGTCTGGTTGGGAGGAACGTGACTGGCCTGCACAGAGCCCTGACCCCAACCTGATAGAACGTACACCTTTGGGATGAATTAGAGCAGAGACTGAGAGCCAGACTTTCTCATCCAACATCAGTGCCTGACCTCAAAAATACTCTCCTGGAAGAGAGGTCAAAAATTCTCCCACATTCCTAAATCTTGTTGACAGCCTTCCAGAAGAGTTGAAGCTGGTATAGCTGCAAAGGGTGGGCCAACTCCAAATTAAAGTCTATGTATTAAGAATGGGATGTCATTAAAGTTCGCTGTTCAAACGAATAGTTACTTCAGCAAGCACATCATCTGCAGTGAAGCAGGCATGGGATGCGGTATCAGCGAGTGTGTCCTCGTTTTCTGGCATCATTAGGTAACCCGCGCAGAGCCG